TTCCAGATTTGAATTGCGGAGAGGCGTAACGTAATTTTTTTAAAATTCTGTTTGTTCATTCTTTTGACGAAGGAATAGAAACCATCGTACTTAGTTAGAACCAGCCGAAAATGGGTATTAAATGACTGACCGGTGAATAATAACTGTAAAATTTTGTTCTGATGTGGGATTTTGGCCGTGCTGCCTGAAGCGTATGGCTACATTATGGCTACATGGCTGCAATTCGCTTGTAAATCAGCAAAATATGTAAACTTTAAGCAAAATATAAATAAAATGTCAATGTTTGGAGGTGCTGATGCGCCATTTTACTCATGCCTTAATGAAAACAATCATTTACATTGCACTGATATGTTCATTATGCTGTGTGATCACATTCCACCGTTTCTTTGTAACTTATCACCTAAGTTATTATCCACTGAGTTAGCGACTTATACCACGGTTTCAAGGCACTTCTTCGTTCGACCACGTGTGGTCAAATTTTCTTATTCCTGCATCAGTATCTCATGTTCAGTATGTGGCCAATTAGACCAATAGGTCTCTTCTCCTGTTTGTATTGTGTATGGATAAGACAATCAGGTGCAGTCATGGTGAGAGTTTGTTACAGTACAAAGTATTGAAACGAGAACGTTGCTGTTTGCTGATGAGCTTGTTTTGTTGGCATCTTCGGAAACTCCTGTCCAGCACACTCTGGAAACGTTAGCAGCCGTGTGCGACTTGGTTAGAAGATGCACAAGCGAGCAAGAAGCTACTGGTTTCATATTTCTGTGCCACCTTTGATTTGAGGAGGAACCGTGGAATAAGTGGTGCAGTTCACGCAAAAATAGGATATCGACTATATGTAATGGAAAATAGGAAGCAAATCGACCGGCAGATCGAAATGTTCAGTGGCTTTCTTGGACATCTGTGACTAGAATATTGCTAAGTCTGAAAAGGAATCTGCACGTATTCAAGTCCATACTTTCTCCATATTCAGCTACGGTCAGAATCATAGACAATGACTAAAAATGCGACCTCGGAAAGAACTCCTTGGAGTAGTCTTCCTGACACTACGGGCTGGGCAAATGCGTGTAGGCCGAGTCAGCAGTTCAGATATTCGAGAAAGTCTGGTGTACAGCCTCTGTTTCTCCTGATTGAGAAGTCATTACTTGGGCGTGTTTAGCGAATGCTTCCAGAAAAAAAAGCAAAACAGTCACTAGTTGCTCAACCGAACCGCAGAGTCCGTGGCGGAGTCCGAAGGATCTCGTGGAAAGGCACAGATGATTTAGAGGAGCTGCCTCGACAGTTGTTTCAGAATCGCTCGTCTTTTACCGAAGATGAGTGGCCAGTGCTGCAAGGGGAACGACGCTGCTGCCCCCTCCATCCTGTCGATCTGAAAGGAAAAGCGGCATCGAAAGTGACTAGCAAACGGATTATGTAGATTAAATGTGTACACAAGTTTAAGCATTGTTTCGTTCTTGTTCTGGGTTTTTATCTTTCTCTGTATGGACAGCAGTTTCAAACGAAGCTTCAAAGCGGCCTTTTATTTCTATTTCTATAAAAACGTGATTAATTTTAACGCTGCAGACTGTGATTCAACCATTTGATAATATTGGCATATTGGAAGCACTGGGAAGTTGCCTCAAACGGTAAATTAGCCTTAACTTACGGCAAGTTTAAATAATTTAACAATAAGAACTCGATATCGGGAGTAATTGGTCAGATTGTTTTTAAGGTGGAAAAAGCGGATCCAAACATGTAGACGTTTCGCTACATTAGCTAATTTCAACATCCCTAGAGCAGCACGCAATGATCACATGACAAATTGTTATATGGCGCATTATGGTTTCTTCTGCAAAGCTGATGTATGTCACAACTCTGGGTACAATTAAAAATTCTCTCTATGATTTACATTGCTAGATATTCATATACTGATAGGCGATACTACTCTGTCAACTAATTTCCACACGCATTAAATTCGTGGCCTACTATACATAATTGTTTTTCCGTCTCCTCTCTTGATGCATGATGGATAATTTGGGCATGGCATCACTAAACAATGTTATAATATCTGCAAGCATGTTTCATTAGCATTAAAAGCAGTAGTGCTGAATCCTCGCATCAGTAAAATCAGCTATTAATAATTAACTGGTCTTCTTCCAACATGCAATTGGAGGAAGGTAGCAAAATTGCATTGAAACATCAAAATTTTAATGCCAGCTGATGGCCAATGAGTGTCTGAAACTTATTCAAATCTATTGAACTTGTGTTAAAACTTATTAACTTATCACGTCCAAATATATTCAAGTTTTTCCTTGTCATGGCCACACTCATATGACCGGTTGAGTTTCATCTCCGCATGGCGGAGAAAACATTTGCCACAACGGCCCTTCTACTCATACTTGATTCAGCACAACAAACAATTTGCTGAGCTAGGTCTATACTCGGAAGTTCCGTTATGAAATTGAGGATTGGATATTTGTGTTAGACGGCCGGAATCTCTGACTCAGTAAGCTCGTTAATTTTCGTTCCAACTGCACCGCAGCCATCACTATGCCTCCGGTGAATGTGGTAATTGATGATTTCGTGTATATTCTGTTGAAGAACACGATGAACTCATTTCCGGTAATTTGCAATGATGTTCTCAGAATGCGGCATCTTTATATATCTGTGATGGTGCGGATGCGCTAGCTAGACTAGCATCGGTGATCAGTGTGATGAAGTTGATTTCGTGGTTTCTGAAAGAGATGGTATGGCGTCACTGCGTTCAGTGTCTAATTTCCTTGCGTGACAGCTTTAGTTCATAATCTAGGAGCAGCATTCTGCGGCAGAATGCGCAATAGCGAGCGTCTTACTTCGAAGAGCTAACTCATACGCCTACCATTCAGGGCCAACAAGTTTCTATCATATAAGTCGCTTTATCTTTTGCTGCCTCGTCTTCAGAAGAAGATGCTAGTTGTTCACAACTGATCATGCAACATCATCAAAAGTCATGGAGGTCTTCCATCTGGACCAGTCCTGTTTACCAAATTGACATACCAGCTGCCC